AGTAGAAATCTTCTAATGAGTCAGCACCTGCATATGGACATTATTTCTTTACTTTATGTCAGAGTCCATGGTGGTGTTTGGACATATAAAGGATTCATAGGGAGATGAATTAAATTGGGACAAGATATTCTAGAAAGCTCTAGGCAGAGAATTAGAGAATGCTCTTTTGAGAAATTTCAGGGAAAAGACAGTGACATTAACCTTGATTTAACAAATCACAATTGCTGTATTCATTCACTTAATATACTACACCCAAATAAATAAACTATAACATGTCTTAATGCAGCTATCTGGCTCATACCCAACATGCTAGTACAAAAGTGGCTGGATTTCCATAACCCTGAAATACAAACTATTTAAATCTATTTTAGCTCAGTTGAGCATGCTGTGTAAATTCAGCCTCTCTTTCATCAAAAAAGGTAGTCAGCACTGCCCCTCACTTATGCTGATTGTTAGAGCAAGCTGCATTTTTTCGCCAGAAAGGTATGATTCAGTGGTTAATAACCTTGAATAAAGTGAAAGCTGCATTGAGTAGTTTGTAAATAATATCCTTTGATGCCAGCCTTGCTGTGATTTACTCAGCAATTGTGACTAAAAGAACCTGTCTAGTTATTTTATTTATTTATTTATATTATTTAGGTGACAACGAGCTGATTTCATATATTATTGTGTGCTATTGATTAGGAGAACCAGTATGGTTAATACGTTGGATTAGGAGTGGAGATACCTAAGAGTGGGATGCTCCCTTGTACACAAAGGCCACAAGGGGAACTAAGCTTGTCACTGTTTCTAAATCTTGCACAGAGAATTTGAAAAATATAACTGAAGAAGGCAAGCACACCACTTCTGATCTGCTCCCAAAAGAACTGCATGAACCTATTCATGAAGTTACCAAGATTCAAGGGTGATTTGAAGGCACACACACACACACACACACACACACACACACACACATGTGGTTAGATGGATGGAATTATGGCAATAGAACTGACATTCAAATTATCAAATAAACAGGGCGTGTACTCTAAGTAACAAGAGATTTACAGTTAAAATATACTTTGTACTGTGGCTTAGAGCAAGGGTGTCAAACCCTCAGCCCAGATGCATCATGCGCTGGTCACACCCGCTTTAATGAAGGGGGGAAAGTCACGATATGTCATGTGACGATGCCCCGGCTTAGAGTGCTAATTTTTAAATGAACAGCTCTCCTGTAGGATTCAATCACTAATTATATTTTTCTTGAAAGAGAAGGTATAAATTTATAGCACAATAGCACAGGTCATTCAGAATCTATCTGAACAGTACCCGCTACTGTGTGCATTTTGTTTCTTTTACATGCAGTGTCATACAGGCAGCAATTTTAGGCATATCAAATCATGAAATATACCTAATGCTGTGATAAGTAAATTTTAAAGCAGTTTACCACTTCTACCCCAGTAATGGGAAATATCACCTGTAAAAAAGGTGATACTTTTTTTTTTAATTTTGATTTATATGCCGCCCTTCTCCGGAGACTCAGGGCGGCTTACAAATCATTAAGCAATATTATTATTTTTTCTTTAAAACAAATTTCACTATTAATTGTTGTTAATGAGCTGTTTACTTAATAAAGAAGCAAAGTGCTTCCACTTCCTTCAGAGAGCAGCTTTGCTTACTGGTCATAATTGCTAAATTTAAACCAACTTGATTTAATCTGTCTTCCTCTTGACATTCAATATTTTTATGCATCCTAGTGCTGTAAAAAAGGCCACCAGATTTGATTTAATGATATTAGTAAGAGGGAGCATTTTTTATTTGAAAGCATCTCTATCCTTAGGTCAAAATGTTTATCCAATTAAAAATGTGATATGAACAATATATATATATATAACAATTGCTCTTCCATATGTGGCCAAATCACTAATGAACTCTGAATTGGTATGGAGACCTTCAGGGTCAAGTAGATTTTGCAGAGGTGTTTTTCCTCCCATTTCTAGAATATTCAAAAGGATTTATACCTATAAGCATTTATAAGAGATGTTGAATGCAAAGTGTTTTAAACCCAGAACAGTTCTTTGGAATGAAAGCATAAGCATACAAAATGATAGAAAAAGTTAGTTTTAAGTCTAAAGCAATTGTTTCAAATTTGAATCAGGTTATTTCAAATTCAACATGGTGTATTTTGCACACCATACTATTTATATTTAGTTATTGTCAGATAGTGCCTAGAAATTGGTAAGTGCATATTACATTAAGGACTTTTGACTCATACATTTCAACCTTTACAAATTATTAAAACTTTGTTTGTTTATTTGCTTCTGTTTTCTTTGTAAAGGAATATTTAATAGTGGAACTGCTGGATCATTTGTTAGACTGAAGAAAAGTTTTTCATTTGGGATTATTTTATATTTTTATATATCAATTTCTCACCTCAAAAGTCTTGCTAATATTGGAAGGAATAGGCCAAGCTTGAAACTCAGTTAAATTTAACACTTTTAAAATAAAGGCTTTTTATTTATTTATTTTTACATTAAGCAATGTTTTATATGAGCTCCGGATAATCTTAAAATGTATTCGGGGTCACATATAACAGGCCTGCCTCATTTGTGTATTCTTTATTTAAGACAATTTTAAGCAGCTTTTCAGGACATATGGTTATATTTGTATTATTGTATATTGAAAATGTGCCCAATCATAATAGTTCCTCGAGTAAATTATAAACTTATTAGAAGAATAAAACTAACCTTTCAATCTAAAACTAATAAATGTATAAGAAAACAGGAGATGAAATATAGATTTCCAGAGTCATAATTGCAAGATAATTTGTTGTTGTTGTTGTTAGTTGCGAAGTCATGACCAACCCATCACGACCCCATGGACAACGTTCCTCCAGGCCTTCCTGTCCTCTACCATCCTCTGAGTTCATTTAAACTCACACTGTTCTGTCCCCAACCACACGCACACACACCAACAGACGTTCAAGAGTTAAAGACCAAACCAGCTGGCAAAATCCTTTTCCTTATTATAACGGAACTTGGCAACAACCTAGTGGCTGCCTGCCAAGAGTTTATTATTTACAAAGAGGAGAGATAACTTCTCCCCACTTCTGGTACATCAAAAGAAACAGCTCAATAATTACGGAGTCAATCAAGTCCAGAGATAATCCAGCCAAGTCTATAGCAAAAGTCCGGCAATGCAGAATGGCGTGGAAACTTTCAGCTTTGTTCGTCACAAGGTTTGATTGGCCACCACTCTCCCTTTTATATCCTGTGGGGTGTGGTCCAGTGACTCAGCCTAATCTCGGGCACGCCTTTTCTTCTGTTGCGCGCGCTTATCTCTGCGACGCTGGCGTGGATCCAGCCAAGACTCATTACCCTCATCACTGTCCATCTGCGGCTGCGTGGATGTGCTTGGCCCCGGCCTTATCTCTTGCCCTTCGGCGGACACCGAAGGCATTGCCAGAGAGGAGGGTCCTGGAGAGAGAGGCCTTGCGAACTCCTCTCCTTCACTCTCAGAGTCCTCTGCTGCCGATGACACAGGCTCAGGTAACAGAGCCACAACACACGCCTAGTGTTTCAGTGACTGCATCCAGCACCTCATTCTCTGTCGCCCCCTTATTCTTTTGCCCTCAATCTTTCCCAGCATGAGCACTTCTCCAGTGAGTCCTTCCTTCTCATTAGGTGTCCACAGTATTTGAGTTTCATCTTCAGGATCTGGTCTTCTAAAGAGCAGTCAGGGTTGATCTCCTCTAGGACTGATCGGTTTGATCACCTTGCAGTCCAAGGGACTCGCAGGAGTCTTCTCCAGCACCATACTTCAAAGGCCTCAATTCTTTGACATTCAGCCTTCCTTATGGTCCAACATTCACAGCCATACATTGCAACTGGGAAAACCATAGCCTTGATAATAATATAGCAAGATAATACAGGCATTTAAATAAAATCAAAAACAAAATTATCATAACCTAAAAAAAACCTGGATGAAAATCAATATCTTAGATTTCTGAAAAACATACAGGTAGCAGAGAAGCAACTGTAGAAAGATTAGAGATAAAGATTTTGACCAGAAATCCTAGAAAAATCTTTTTCTCTGATATACTTCCTAACTTCATTTGGCAGAACCACCCAAAGGAGGCCCATGATTGATGACCAAAGTCCCTGAAAGGAAGTCATCCTTAAGAGCAGGAATAGAAATACTGCATCTAAGCCCCAGAATTCTGCAAAGTTAAAGATCTCCAGGGCCTGGAAAGGAGATGAAAATTATACCATGAAGAATAAATGCATCCTCACTCATACAGAGAGAGTATCCATTCCCATATTGGCTGTGGGTAGCTTAGGACATACAATTAAACCACGTACAAAAATTATATTAATAACACTAGGTTTAGCTTTTATAATTCTATTTATCTCAAAGGCACCAGATTGAGGATGCTTATTTTACAAGCTGTAATATAATTGTTCTCACTCACTCCATCTCTTTTGTTCATGAAGATTTTGTAAATATTCAACATTCCTAAACCAATCAATCTGCCTTTGCTTCTGCTGCCTCTATTTGAAGGTTTATGAAGATTGTATTTGTCAAGGAGAGAGATTTAACATATTAGGGCCGTGCACACCTAAAAAGTCATTCAAGTATTTTTGTGTCTCTGCAAACACAGCACCTCTCAATTGTTTATGAAAGCAGCTACTCTTGTTCTTAGGTTTCTGTGTGAGCTCTCTTAAGAGCCCTATTAATTTAAATGAACTGACTGCTTTTATCAGGCTCATACAAAAAAATGAAAAGAAAAGGACTGTTTTAATAAATTGGAGAGAGTTGCTGTCTTTTGGATGATTTGAAGCACTTCTTCCAAATCATTTTTATAGGAGCATATCTATAATTAATATTTTATGTTATGATAGTTTCTAAATTCTAATGGTCTATCACCTAATAATTTAAATTTTTGTGTGAGTTTCTCTATAATATTTCTGTTGCTGCACATTCTTTCCCTTAATGTGTCATTCCTTCCTTTTTTTTTAAAACAGAGTTTCTTTGAAGGACAGTCTGCACCATGGGACTCAGCTAAAAAAGATGAGAACCGCATGAAGAATAGATATGGGAATATCATTGCATGTAAGTGTTGACAGTATAATTGTACTACAGTACAAACTCCTTTTAGTAACTGACAGCACTGCCCATTGATATGTAGCACTATGTATATGGAGTAAAAATGGAGTTCTACTTATTATAATTAATGAATGAATGCTTAAGAATTCAAAAAACAGCAAAATAAAGGAATTAACAAATCTTTGTGGCTAGAATACTGATATCAACTGTGGCACTCAGTGAGTAGCATTGTCTCTCTATCCTGCCTCTGAAAGGATGTGTGGATAAAATAGGAAGATAAAACAACATTTTCTATATGAAGTATATGATGGCTACTTCTGTTGCATCATATAATATCTTTATATTTGTACAGATATTGTGGGTTATCTGCCAATAACATGGAAATGATCTGTTTACTGTAGTACACATAGAAACATGCCCCTCACCAGTATACTGGAGGCATGTTATTGTAGGCATCCCTTATCCCTTTTTTCCATAAATACACTAAACAACTAAGGGAACTTCTTGTCTAAGTCCCTGAACAGTCTGAACATTTTTCTAAATCAGCACAATAATGCTTCTTTCATTCAGCATTTTTTACTCTAGTGAGGAAATAAAATTGGTCTGCACAACTTCCAGTTGAACTGCACTTCCTAAATTTTGCTCGTTGTCATAGCCTGTATTCCAGCGGTCCCCAACCTTTCCAGCTTGGCGGCCTAGGGGGGGCATGTGAGTGGCAGGTGTACATGCATACACACAGCTCCATTTGGAACACAAGTGGAGGGTGTTTGCACTCGCACATAAAGCTTCACTTGTGCAAGTGGCAGGCACTTGTTCTCTCATGTGAAGCTCCACTCGTGTGAGCGGAGGGTGCTTGAGCTGGATCTTTGAGCGTGAGCACAGGAGCCCTTCGCTCGCGCAAGTGAAGCTTTCAATAATCCAGACCTGTAAATACTCTCTCCAGCACTCTTTCACTTCAGTTTCATCTCAGATCATTTCATTATTTTTATTTCTAATTCCATTCACTATGCTTGAGAATCCATCAACATTGTTTTGCATTTTCTCCGCCTCTTTTAACCATTTCTTGGCTTCTTTGGACTCCTTTTATAGAACCACAATATCTGTTTTCTCTAAACCCATTGTACAGTATCTTTCTCTCTTCATTTCTTGCAACAACCATTCTCTTATACTTTCAATCTCTTTCAATTTGTCCACAAAACAAAATATATCATACTTCACATTAATGTAACTCACATACTTCTGTGAGTTTGTAACATAACTTTTCATTGTATTTCAAGCTGCTTCCATATTTCCTTATAACTACTGTCTGTTCACTCTGTTGGGAAGCTAATATCTCTTCTAATATTTTTTAAAATTGGATTCATGCTTTTTCTTCTTACAGTCATTCCACTTTCGCTGCTTGTTTGTTTGGGTTTTTTTTTTCAACTTCTTTTCTTTTTTCCCAAGGTCTTTGGTAATACCAAAAATGGTTTATCCCACATTCAGAACCTGTCATCCCTTTTATATCCTTCACTAACTCACCAACACATTTTCATCTAAACAATCAAAAACTGCTTTTAGATTTATGTTCACTCCCATACCATGTGTAAAATACAACTGAAAGGGAATTTGATATGAGTTGATAGAATTATGAATTATATGTACAGGTTTAGTAAACAAAAATGAAATGTCATAATATTAAATCAATGAACTAACAGGAAATAAGCATGTTTTTCTTTGGCAATATATCATTAATTATGCTGCAGGATTGTAAGATTGCTTAATCAAATAAAAATCAAATAAAATCACTATATTAATATACTTTAAATTAATTACATAAATCAAGGACTTTTTATTTCTTATAAATTGAAGAAACTAACAGTTTGTAATTAGTAGGGTGACTATTTAAAGAAAAGGTTGTATCAATTTTAATATTACAATTACATTGGTTTTTTTTTAAATTCTAATTTTGTAGTCATCTTGACTGATTAGAAAGATAGGATATAAATCAAATAAAACATTCAAATAATGTTGTCTGGTTTTAGAAAGATTTCTTAAGGATAACTTAGAACTTTCAACCATATCTAGATATTAAAATGAAATGAATACCTTGTCCTGATATTTGTTGGCAAATATCAGTTACAGTGTGGCTTCTCAAATATTTAAAATTCATATTTTACCATATTAATTGATCTAAGTATATTCAGACTCAACTGATAAACTGTTGAAAATAAAAATTTGAAGATACAAAGAAGTGTAATTATCAGAATATTAATCTCAAATGTTCATAGGGAAGCAGTACTTGATAAATTTTAATGCCTTTTGTAACAGGACTTTCTTTTCATATTAAGTTATCACCCGATCTCATCTCTAGCCAGTCTATGTATGTGTGTGTATGTGTGTATTTCTGTATATCAGGGAACTAGTATGTACATTATATATACATTTAGACACAAAGACAATATGAGATCTCAAATAAATTTAATCAGGTGTTATTAATTCCTGGGCTTGCCTTTTTTGGAATGTGAATATATAAAGTCTGTCTGTCAATCTATCTATTTATCATCTATCTAACTAAGTAACTAAGTAACTAACTAACTAACTAACTAACTAACTAACTATGAAGCAACACACAAATGCTGCAAAATGGAAGTTGGAAAGCATACTTTGAAAGATAGAACAACTGGCAATTGCCTGAATTTTTTTGTCTGCATCTTTTATACTTTACATGAAGAGCATGACTAACACATCATTTCAGGAACACAACAGCCATGTCCCTAGCAATATCATTTATTATTCTCTGCTTCCTATTTTGTTACACATCCCATCTTTTTTTCTAATAAAACAATATTTGTGTGGTACACACAAGTGGAGTACTAATTCAAGAAACTCTCAAAACATCTTGGCGATGAAAGAAATGCTGGGATCCACAAAGATGGGGAAATAAAAAATAGTAAGAATTAGGATATGATGGGCTTTTAACATTCTCTGAAGGACAGGTCAACCTAAAATTACAATTAATTTAGCAGTTCAATCTAAGATCTGTTATAAAGTAATATTTTAGTATGTCCATACATAAGGTTGGATACTTTTTTCTCCTTGCATATTCTGCATTTGACGGAAATATCAACTCAAAAAGGAAGGGAAATATAGCTTAATTTGTGTTCATATAAAAGCAAAACCAGCCTTTTGAAACTAATGATAGTATTAGGGATCAAAATATATCTTTACAAGTAAGTTGGTATTCCTTCCAATACAAATATAACTAATCAGTGTTACTTTATGACTACTGAGCAGAATACAAATTATTTAATTTATTTTTGTGGGTTTTTCAGATGATCATTCTCGAGTGAGACTGCAGCCTGTTGAAGGGGAATTAAACTCAGACTATATCAATGGAAATTATATTGATGTAAGTATAGTATTATAACAAACATAACAGTTTGTTCAAATATTGTTTGTTTAATGCCTTTTTAAAACTAGATAAAACATATAGAGCTACCAAAGATTTGCTTATATGAAAATTAAATAGTTCATTTCCTAAAACTGTTGCATTATGGAATAAAAAATTCCCAATAATTATATCTGGCTATTTTTTCTCCTAAGTTTTATATGTCCCTGCCTCCACTCAAAACATTAATTATAGTTTTTCATCAAAGCTTGTAATATAGTAATTCCCATTTTAAAAAGAAGCTGTTTGCAAGATTAACGTGATTAAACTCCATAATTTTTAATGCAGTGGCTTGCAATCTTTCTTCATCTACTTTTAAGCAACCTTCAGAATGGGATCTGCATCTGTTAACTAGAACTTCTGATGCAAGCAAGACATCTCATTAAATATGTATATTGATTAATTATTTAAGATTGCTTCTTTGTTCATCCTGCATCATGTTAACTTAATGTTTTACATTAGAATAAATTCTTCAAGAGACAGTAGGTGGAGGACTCAATGAATCAAAAGTAGGAGTAAATATTAAGAAACAATGCCATTTTAAGTCTCAGCCTACAAAGTGATTCAAATATTTTTTTGCGTATAATGTATTTTTCAAAAATGTAATAATCTGAATTTATATGTTACCTTGACTTTTTATACCTTAGAGACTCCTTGTTACCATTTTTCTAAAATTGACACTTTCATGCTACCTTAACATATGCACGAGTATAATATATATAGGGTGTACCACAATCACACCACAAAAACCTATGAACTTTAAGCATTAAGTACAGTAAGATTTTATCTGAAAAAATTAATTAATAAAACATAGTGAATGGCCTATGGGGCTTGATTTTTGGTACATTCTATATATTTCTGAATATTGATGTTTATACTAGAAGGGCTCATTTCACTTTTAATTAAACAGTCTCAGCATTATCATTTATGTTGAATACATACTTTAAGAAATTGCTACAACTTCACTCATAGAAGATTAATTCATCAGTTGGCATCATTGCTTATCATTCACCATTGCATTTGTACCTGAGTATTGTTACTCATCTGCAAGACTTTTGAAAACAAGATTTCCCTTTTCAAGAAACCTTATAGAAATATCAGCTGTCCATAGTATTGTGGCTAAGTGGCAAAGAGACTTGGTTGCTTCCTAGTGATTGAGCAGAAATTGGCTGAGACACCTCTGTTTGGTTATTGGTCATGAAGTACCTGCTGTACATTGATTGACTGTGCAAGCACTACAGGCTCACAGAAAAGGGTCATGGTTAGCTATGATAGTCAACAAACTCCATTTGATTTCAAGTGGGAAATTAGACAAGTCAGGTAATGGAAAAACTGGACATCTGGAAGTATCCTAATCATACTTAGAAGATATCCGCTGAAATCATGACTAATTAAAGTCCATTTATTTAAATGTCTATATTCTCAAATGTAATTGAGCCTGGATCCAGTTTTGAACTCATTTGTTTGAAACTAAATTGTAATTCAATTATTAATTCAATAGTTTATTTACCAAGATAAGATGTAGTGCTTCAGCTAAATCATAATACATTGCTTAATGTTTCTTAACTGTTTTCTTCTTGCTGTATAACACTAAAGCTAATAATAAGACAATTAATACAGTTTGGAGTCTCTCTAGTAAATTATTAATGGTAAGCCACTTTAAATCTTTCTATAAATATTTCTACATTTCTTCTGTTTGTCATAGGAATAAAAATCCCATAATTTGCTTAGCAAAATAATTAAAGGAACATTTAAAAAGTTTTTCAGATGCAATTGTATGTATCTTTTGTCATTTCTCTCATGTTACATTATGAATACTATCATTAAATCCTTGCTGATTTGGTTGGATCCATACATATTATATTTCATTATTGTTATTATTATCATCATCATCATTATAATCATCATCATGTTATTATTATCTTTTATTCATTAAAAATGAAACTCAGTCAACTGAACATTTAAAAATGTTTCACAAATACCATTGACTGGTGCTAATAGTTGATACAGGTTGCTGCCAGCATCCTAGGTATCAATTTATTATTATTATTTTTATTATTATTATTATTATTATTATTATTATTATTATTATTATTATTATTGTATCCTGTATTTGTCATTTATATTTTAAAGCAGTTTTAAAACTAATGTGGATGTTATGATTACATGGATGTATGTTCAAAGTTTGGGAAAGCTACGGTAGTAAAATAATAATTTTTAAAATACAAAATACAATGTCTTCTAGACCCAAATAAATGTCAATTATTTGGTGTTATCAAAAATATAAATTATTAAAATTGTCTGCTCACACAACATATATTAATAATATTTATGACTTTTAGGAAAAAATATAAATTGTTTTATCTTTTTTCCCAACTTGATTTGAACAATCAATCCAAGTGCATGCATTCAGTAAAATGATTTTTCCACTTGTGAATTATGACAATTTGAAAACATTTCATAAGGATTGAATTGCAAAAGATTGTGAAAATCTAGTATTAACTTTAGTCATATAATTAATAGGATACTGCTGTGAATAACATTTCAGTCAGTAATTCTAATTTACAGATTCATTGTGTGCAAGGCAATAAAAATGACCTTTAGGTAGACCAGATTTTTAATGATATATTCATTTGCATATATATGCATTTATAATTATTTAAATACATAAATTATAAAACTATATGTAGATATATCTGAAGCATATCTTTTGTGCTTCAAAAACATTTAATGTATTCAAAAAATGGAATGCAAAGGGGAGTTTATATTTAGTGATGCAACAATTAATTGTCTTGTTAGTACAGTGCATATAGACAATTTATATTGTGATTGTGAAGATTGTACCAATACGATAGATCATTATATCATTTACATGTTTCTAAACTGCAATGGTAGCTGCTAAAATATTACTTTTCACAGTTCCACTGACAACTATTAATTTCAATATTATTTTTCACATTGAGGTCATGTTTCATTTATTTACTATTTCAGTTATTTATTTACTACTAAATTTAAAATAGTGCTTACTACTAAGATTTCTAGAGGTTTATAGTAAAATAATTTCTATATGATAATGTTTACATTTCTCATCTTGTACATGTGATAAAGCTAGTCACAAAATATTTGAAATATTTCAGGGCTATCATCGACCAAATCACTATATTGCTACTCAAGGTAAGTTAACCATATATTTATGATTTATTTGATCAAGTTTGTTTTTCTTTTAAAATAATTAACATCCCTGTAAATATTTTACATTCATTTAAATTATAGTAAATCATAATATTTTGAATGTACAGTTCATCAAGTGTCCTAATTTTTAAATATTAGTCCCCCATCTGAAAATGTTTTATTTAAAAAAATACAATGGGGAGTTTAGGCAAACTAATATTACAGTTGATATTTTGAAGTAGAGTCTTTGGTGCTCTCTGAGCTTGGTTGTTTTTCTTGCATACGTTTCATTACCCAACTAGGTTACATCATCAGTGCTAGAAGAGAGTGGTGTTTGCACTGTTAAACCCCATTCCCTTTTAGCACTGATGAAATTTTCTAATTGGATAATGAAATGATTAAAAGAAAACAACCAAGCTCAGAGAGCAGCAACAATTCCACAGATCAGCCCCATTTGAAGGTACTACATTCCTGGAGAATAAAGAATACAGCATAATAGATCAAACTTGCAGGTGAATAGCCAGGAGAGAGAGAGAGATCTTGAATTTACCAGAATAGTCTCTGTTCTTCTATTAAGTAATAAAAAAGAGATCTAGTTCTTTGTAAAGAGCACATAGCATTATTTCTACTTTCTGTTACACTGTGCTACTCAAAATGATAATTGTGCTTCAGGAATTAGTTGAGATACAGCGGTCTCAGAAGCATTCTGTATTCAAACATACAAACCATGAAATTGATTGATTGATTACCTGATTTCACCATTGTTAAATACAAGTGTTCAGTCTTGTAGCCCATTACATTCCTTAGCATTTTTCTCTTATTTACATGGAGGGTATTTTTAAAGATGACAAAAGTACTTAACAGCAGAATTTCAGGAATTTGCAAAATTAAATATCCACAAGAGGCTTGTTTACATATGTGAAAACACTTTATAAATTCATTTAAATTCAAGTCTTTGTTATTGAAAACAACTGTTAACATCTGTAGAGATTCCTTTATTCCCTTGAAAAGATCTGATTTACAATTTTATTAAATTAATGCTGTCTTATTCTTTAATGTTTATGTACTAAAGACAACTGGTTCCAGAAAAATAGTGTTGCCATCTCCTCCCACAGAAAATGAATAAAAGATGGGTTATTTTTCCAAAACAATTGTATTTTTTTGTAAGCTAGTGTTGCCACTAACAGACAGCTGCATCATTCTGTCTACTAACCATTTATTTCATTTGCAGGTATTAATAGTCAGTTTTATCCCAACTAAAAAGAAAAAAAATCTGTGATTCTTAAACAAAATTGGGACAAGTTTAAACAAAGCTCTTTAGTTTAATACAGATCAATCACCCCACAAAGATAAAGGCTTACAATGAGGACATAAGCATATTTAGTGTTGATCAGTTTAGTAAAACATATGTATTAAAGTTGAGTGTCTTAATTAACCCTCAAAATTTAGTAATAGAGCATGACCTTCAGCCATCTTTTCTCTTACAAGTAAATTCGTATTTAGACATTAGAAAGAGTTGTACATCATTCATAGAGACATTCATGAAACATTAATTTTGCAGAAATGTTAACATCCTTAGATAAAAATCAAAAATTTATCTAGAAAATTGTGGCCCTCTTGAAATCATACAGTTGAAATTCAATGGAAATGAGCAAAAAAAAACTGTCCCTGTGTTTAGTTGTTTTGGCATGCAATGCCCTATAGTAAAATTCTATATTCATATTTCTAAGTTTTTAAGAGTCAAAACCAATGCTATTATTTTAATCATTGGGTGACTTCATTTAATTTATGTAATCAACCTAATATGATGCTTAATTTTGTTTTGTTCTATCTGTATATAATCTGGAGGCCTATCTATCGTTTAACAAGGAGTGCATTTTTACTTAGCTAAGGACCTTTACTTGGCCAATACAAAAGTTAAATTTGATTTTGTTTTATTTATATTTGAATTATTTTTATAATTACATGATCACTCGTCAGTCAGGTTTTTAACAATTCTTCATTTGTGTTATGTTAAAATTATATTTTGATCAGACTTTTTTTTCTTTTTCTTTTTGAGGTCTCTGAAAATAGCATCTCAGATGTTAGGGTGGTAGCACCTCTGGATCATCAGTTTCTGTACCTCTGCCCAAATGTCTTAGATTGCAGATCAGTTACTCAAGTTGTAAAAGAAAGTCATTCTAAATACATGCACTATCTTTTACTCATTGGATATTTTTTATATAATGAGAAAAAACAGGACTATTATTAAACATCCTCATCATTAAGCATATAATAGCATTATAATTTGACTTCAATAATGACATAAAATAATTAATTTATTTAAACAAAAGTATGATGAAATGTTTATCCATTATGATATAATTTTAACCATGAGATCCGCTAGCCCATACTTTAGCTCTGTTTTTCAACCATGCATTATTTTAATAAGACATAATCATTTTAAGGACTTCTTAAATTATAACCATTTTTACCTTTGCCCAGCTCTTTAGTCATCCTCATTAGAAGCTAACCATAAATATCCTAAGGTTGCATTAAGCTATAACTGCATATTTCATACAAATAATGTTCAAGCCTAATGATACTTAATAAACCACAAAAATAAAACAAGCAGTATCTCCTGTAGCAGGAGCATATCTCACTTTTAGCAGCATAATTTCAGTTTTAAATTCTCTTTAGTGTCCTTCATGCTTATTTCTTCCCATTTTAATTAGTGTCTGAATATGCCGTGAAATCATTGTAGGCCTAATCATTTAGGTCATAAGTCCCACCAATCACTTTATCAAAGAGCTGGGTGTTGTTTAATAGAAAAAAACCCACTTTTTCTTTTTTTTTTTCTATATAATTTCACTGAAAATTACATTGGACAGATAATACAGATTATAATAGTAAAATAATATTTTATAAAAAAATTTAAAATATTATGAAGAAAAAAGCAAAAAAGGTAGAGAAAGAAAATAAAGTAACTTCCCCCTTCAACCAAGCAAGTACAGATAGTCCTCGACTTACAAGTTCATTTAGTGACCGTTCAATGTTACAACAGCACTGAAAAAAGTGACTTTTGATCATTTTTCACACTTACAATCATTGCAACATACCCCATGGTTACATGATCAAAATTCAGATGCTTAGCAACTGACTCATACTTCTGACAGTTGCAGTGACCTGGATCAAGAGATCACTTTTTGCAACCTCCTGGCAAGCAAAGTCAGTGGGGAAGCCAGATTCACTTAACAACCATGTTAGTAACTTTAACAAGTACAATGATTCACTTAACAATTGTACTGTTCTGCCCCAGCTATGGACCCCAAAGAATGCAGCACACACAAACTCTATACAAAGCTTATTTACTCAAAATAACTTAATCTTTATTATTTCAAAGTCTGTTAATGCATTGTCTTAACAGCCAACCAGAATTCTACGATAAGGTAATCACGGTCTTACTAGAGTTGGCAGGAAGCCCAGACGCAATTTTGCAGACACGAAAGAGAGTGAACGAAAGTTGTTCTCTACAGCTTGTTGCAAGTGGTGTTCTTTCTTAAATAGGCTAAGGGAGTGGCCAATTAGCCCCAAGCCTTACTCTCGAGGAGACCTCCTTCTGAGGAACCACTCCTGCCTTTTGGCAGCTCTGTGTGCCCGTGCATTGAGAAGAGGCTCCTCCTCTTCATCCTCTTCACTTAAAGGAGCTTCTGGAAGTTCTGAAGGCCCTGGCTGAATCCCTGCCTCTGGCACCACATCTTCTCCAGCCTTGTCACTGTCCGACTCGAGCGCCAGCTGCACAGGCTGCTGGCGCAGCACCACACCAGCCTCCTCTTTGTCGGAATCAGCTACAATCCGCGCAGGCCGCTGGCAGGCCACAATATGTGCCAAGAAAATTTGTAAAATGGGGCAAAGCTCACTTAACAAATGTTTCACTTGGCAACTTAGTTAGTTAGTCCAAATACATTTTGGACTCGATTGTGGTTATAACTCGAGGACTATCTGTATAAAGAACTTTAACAACATGTCACACCTCTTTAAAATACAACAATTTACTTCATCTCATGCCTCACTTCATTATCTACAAACAGATCTTTAAAAACTCATCATTCTTAAAATCAGCTAAAATCAATTAGGAGTTACCAAAAATAACAATCCATATCTGATTTTTTACTTTTAAAATTCCTCAAACCTCATCATTCAAATCCAGTCTGTAAAAAAATCAAATAAAGGTTACAGAGGTAACAACATAATTGGTTTAAACTTAATCAGATGAATTTAAAATGCACAAATGACCATCTTCCATTAAAACTCTTATCTATAAAATATCATCATCTAGTCCTAGTCAGGAAAAAAAACGGTTAAAGATTGCCAGAATTAACAACTTATCTATCTCAGACTAGGCCAAATAAACCAATTTTATATTTTTCCCTTTGCTACCAACAATCTTGGTCTTTAGTCCTTCAAATAATGTCCAAACATGGGACAGCCACAATGTCCCTGCTTCTACAGTGACAGCTTCAGTTTGCCACATCCTCATTGAAAATCCCCAAAAGGCCATTTTTTCTGAAAATGAAATGTATATTGTTACATTTATTATTTATAGTAAGTATTAAAGAAATAATTAATACTTTAGTTATTTACAAGAGCTATGTGGCACAGTGGTTAAAATGCAGTATTGCAGGTTAATTCTGCTGACTGCCAGCAGTTCAATTCTCACCGGCTCAAGGTTGACTCAGGCTTCCATCTTTCTGAGGTTGGTAAAATGAGGACCCAGATTGTTGGAGGCAATATACTGACTCTGTAAACCACTTAGAGTGCTATACAGCACTAAGAAGCGGTATATAAGTCTAAGTGCTACACTATAGCAAACTGAATATTGTAGTATACTACTGACCAAAAACATTGTTTTAGGGCAGGGGTCAGCAAACTTAAACACTCAAAGAGCCACTTGGACCCGTTTCCCACAGAAAAAAAACACATCGGAGCCACAAAACCTGGGTGGGCATGTCCAGCTCGATGTC